ATTGTCCGTTGATATTTTAGATGATGTTGATGATGTTTATGTAGATGGTGATGTTGATATTGATGTTGATGTTGATGTTGATGTTGATGTTGATGTTGATGTTGATGTTGATGATGATGTTGATGATGATGGTGATGGAGATGTTGATTTTGGTGTTGATGTTGATGTTGATGTTGATGTTGATGTTGATGTTGATGTTGATGTTGATGTTGATGTTGTTGATATTTATGTTGATGTTGATGTTGATATTGAAGTTGATGTTGATGTTGTAATGCTGATGTTGATGTAGATGTAGATGTAGATGTAGATGTAGATGTAGATGTAGATGTAGATGTTGATGTTGATGTTGATGTTGATGTTGATGTTGATGTTGTAATGCTGATGTTGATGTAGATGTAGATGTAGATGTAGATGTTGATGTTGATGTTGATGTTGATGTTGATGTTGATGTTGATGTTGATGTTGATGTTGATGTAGATGTAGATGTAGATGTAGATGTAGATGTAGATGTATATGTAGATGTAGATGTAGATGTATATGCAGATGTAGATGTAGATGTAGATGTAGATGTAGATGTAGATGTAGATGTGTGAATAATAACAGTTCAGTTTGCACCATGGTCTTACTATAAATCTATAAATCAGGGTTTTATTATGATCGTAGGTTTTAAATTAAGAAATTAGAAAAATTATCCCTAAGAATAATATTGATGAAAACAATTTCGATCAAATCTTTTCATGACGATAATGATTATCGTGAAAAAGAAAATCAAGGTTTGTCATAAAACTCATAAAGATGGATTAATGAAACTAATTTTTAAATATCATTATCCTGATAATAGTAGAAATCATGATTATTCTGTTGGATAATGATGATTAATAATGATGATGGTAATGAAGATTATTAATTATGATGGTAATGATGAAAATGATGATAATGGCGATGCTAATAATTAAAGTGATATTGATTTTAATAATTATGATATTTAAAATGATGATAATGATGATTTTAATCAAAAATAATGATGATATTGGTAATGATACGACAGATGAATTAAAGGATGTTTTAGGAAGTTTTCTCTGCATATAAAATCGACAGTATGACTTATTACGTAAGTTTTTTGATTTTTGATTACTAGTGTTTTTAGGTCCCAATAATCTTTTTTAAATTACTCGAAAAAGTGCACCGGCTTAAAGTGTTTAATTTTAGAAGAGTCCGTTTAATTAATTTGTGTCGTATGATGGTTCCGTTCGGCGCAAAACTGGGTCGAATTTTAAAAACTTGTCTGCTTACTTTGAACAATTGATCATTTATATTATTCTATTCAAATCTATATTGCAGAGAGAAAACAATATTGATTAGAAATTACAATAATGCATTTTTAATTAGATTATTATAATGTTTAATATATTTTAAACTATATCTTAAAGAGGCTCCTGAAATTTGAAGCCATTCTAATATTCGCCTAGGTTTAGGACTGGTATACACCTTGGATTTCAGAAAGTCCAAAATAAAATCTAAGTGGGTTCAGATTCAGATTCTGATTCAGAGATTTTCGAATATTCGCCATAGTTTTAAAAAATATGGAACAATTGGACGATAAAAACTTACGATTTTTGGGTCACCCTGTATATCACAAAACATTTTTTACAATGTGCTTTTAAATTTACACAATTAACTTTAAACCGTGCATGGACAAATTTAGCAAATACTTTTAAATCTTCGCACGAAAGGAACTAAATACTTATTTAACACTCACATTTTCTACCTTGATATCTTATACTTTGCTTGTCTGTCTGTTTGTGACCGATAAACGTCAAAACTGCTGAATAGATCTGGCCTTCATTTCTTGTGGGACCTCACATGATCCTATAAATGCATTAAGACAAAAGCTTGAGAAACATATACAATATAAATGGACCAAATATTATGAATTTGAACTGTATACAGCCGGTTCAAATTTGAATCCCCTATTCAAACCCTTTCTTAACCTTTAAATTTGAATCGGTGGTTCAAATTTGAATCAGCAGTATAGGTAGTTTAGCGACGTAGCTCAAATTCATTAAATTCAGTCCCAAGGATGATTAAATCTTAGCGGAAACGACAACGACTAAACTTTTGAATCACAAATATTGAAAATTGAGATGAGAGTTAAACCTGGATAATTTGAGTAGCCTGCTGTCTGCCTGTCATGTTAACGAGCGTAGAGTAACATTTCAATTTTCCTACGCGCCTATCACGATCCTTTGAGTGCACACCGTGCAGGGATGCTGTGTATACTATTGAAGAAAAAAAATGTTCCTATTTGTTAAATGATGGTTTGAAAATACATTAAAAGATAAGATAAGGAGGGTGGAGGGGGAGGGGGGGTGCTGCACTCCCCTGGTTATACATGTTTAAAGGTTAAGAAAAGATAAAATATTCTGAATATTGACGTTGAACGTGTTTAAATCAATCCAAAAGATGCGTAAACTAGCGGGGAACAATTTTATGCGTACATTGTATACAGCTGTATACGCATTCANATCTCCCTTCGAGGGAGGGGGTGCAGCTGCAGAGACGCCATTGAGCCCCGCGAAATGATCTCCAAGCCTTTGGATTCGCAGATAAGTATTTAAAATGACCTGGCGCTACCCCTACCTTTTAGAATGGATATCATAGACGAAGTAATATTTAAAAAATTTTAGAAAAACATTTAATATTTTAATAGTTATGCAATGTTTTTTGGATATTCCAGAAAACACTGCATACCTATCTAAAGATTAAATATTTTCTTTAAAAATGTTATTTATTACTCTATAATATCATTCTAACGAATAGGGGTAGCGCCAGGTAATTACAAATACTCATCTGCGAATACGGAGGCTTGGAGACCATTTAACGGGGCTCATGGCGGCTCTGCATCCCCTTCCTCCCCCTTCACCAGTCTGATGCCCATTCAATGAAAGGTTATTAAATAAATGATATATACTTTGTAGAAAAATAATCTCAGCGGTTAAAAAGTTTTTAAAAGTAGTTAAAATAAAGATGTAAGCGAAAAAGTACGAATTTAGTGTTTGAACAAAGCTTAAATTTGAGAAAAAAGTTGTATCTTATTCTAGACTGCGCAGAGTCTAGGCTAGATCTCAACCGCTCATTCAACCGCTCCCGCTGAGTTTTTTTTCTACAAAGTATATATCATTCTTTTAAGAATTTTTAAATTAATTGCTCGTAGATAAAAATAATAAAATTAAATCAAAATTATCATACAAGGTTAGCAAAGTAAGGAGGGACAATAAAATGGGATGAATTCAAGTATTTTTGTTGGCGTGTGGAATTAAAGAATTAATTTTTTATGATGAAACACGAGTTTGATCGTCGTTAACGAACTGATCTCGCTCTTGAACAGTAAACAACCGTTATCAATCGTTAATTAAGCATAAGAAATTGCGAATCTTCAGAAACAAAGAATACAGCTAAATATTATCTTGATTTACTTTGAAAAGTAAGATAACATGGAATTGAAAACTTTTTTTTTGCTTTGCCTTCGAAGAGTTCGAGAAATTTCCAAAACAGGAGGTAGCTTCCCCGTATTTCCAATACAGGAGGTAGCTTCCCCGTATTTCCAAAACAGGAGGTAGCTTCCCCGTATTTCCAATACAGGGGGTAGCTTTCCCGTATTTCCAATACAGGAGGTAGCTTCCCCGTATTTCCAATACAGGAGGTAGCTTCCCCGTATTTCCAATACAGGAGGTAGCTTCCACGTATTTCCAATACAGGAGGTAGCTTCCCCGTTTTTCCGGGCACCACCGTACGTCCACCCCGTATTTCTCTACGGGTGAGAAAGGGTAAACAAACGAACAAGAACGATATAAAAAATAAGAACGTGCCAAGCCCTTCTTATCAGATATACAGGGTGTCCCATGCTAAACATGACAATCGTAAAACTATAAAAAAAAGTTTTTTTTTCTATCTAAGGAATTATTATGTATCTTGAGATTTTTAGGATGTTAAAAATTTTGTCATTTAAAAGGTTTCAAGGATCAAAAACGATATTTAGGTAGTTTTTTTTAACTGGTTCACCCTGCATCAAAATCTTCTAATCTCCCCTACTCTGAACATTCATGATAAAAATAGTTTATGGTTCGTCTTGCCAACATAAATATTTCAACCTCAGTATATAAATCCTTACATGAATTCACGCCTTTATATACAAATTGCGCAGAACGTTTTTGACTTAGAATTTTAATTCTTATTTAGCTCAAGTTAAACGTTATATTGAGTTTAACTTAAATTGCATATTGATTTTAACTTAAACTTCATATGAGTTTAACTTAAAGTACATATTGAGTTTAACTTAAAATTCATATTGAGATTATCTTAAACTTCATATTGAGTTAAGCTTAAAGGTAACCGCCAAAAAAATTCTCCAAAAAAAAAGTTTTCGGAAAGAAAGTCCTAAATTTTGGAACTTAAAAAGTTCTGTGGAAAAAGTCTTTGAAATGAAAAATTTCTGGAAATAAAGTCCTGTAATTTTGAGACTTTTTTCTAGGACTTTTTCTGGTTCCAGTATATGATTGTATACAAAAAAGTCCTCTTACAATAGAAAATGCATGGGAACAAAGGATGTTTACAACCATTGGGAAAAAGGGGCCCTGGCTTTAAAACACCCCTGGCTATATTCAAAATATAGATGTATAGAAGAAAAGATTTTTTTTTGTGAAAACGTCCAAGACTTTTAATCCTTTGATCTTATTTCCTGAGACTTTATTGAAAGTCCCCATATTTCTTTAGAAAGAAAAGTACCAAGCATTTAAAACTCAGGACTTTATTTCTAGTGGCATTTTGTCTTGGGACTTCAGAAAATTGGGACTTTTTTGCCAAAGTTTTTTCCAACTTGATGGAAAAAATAAAAAAATATTAAAAAATTTAATTTTTAATATTCTGCAAATTTAGTATTTCTAAAATTTTAAATTATATTTTGTGAATTTTTATTATGTTAATTATTGTATTTGTTCTAGGTTGGGATGGTTACATTAACAGCAGTACTGCTTCCTCTTGTGTTTTCACAACAACAGTACTGCGAGTTCTCGTACAAGCATACAATGTGCAGTACACAGGTGCAGTACATTTAAAGTACTTATTTCAAGACACTGATGAGATGTTATAAAGGATTTCAAGACGGTAACTGTCAAAAAAGTTTTCGGAAATAAATTCCTAAACTTTGGCACTAAAAAAATCCTTGATAAAAATGTCTCTGGAAATAAAGTCATTCCATTTTAAACTTTATTTGTTTTGGTTCCAATATGATTTTATACCCAAAAGTCTTCTAATGGTTAAAAAAGCATGAGAATAAGGATGTTTACAACCATGGCAGAAAAGGGCTTGATATTAAAATACCCCTGGCTATATTTTATATGCATATGTATAGAAGAACATTCCTTTTTATAAAAAGACTTTAATTCCTGTGTTCTTTTTTCCTGAGACTTTATTGGCAGCCTCCATATTATTTTAGGAAAAAAGTCTCCGGAATCTAAAACTCTGGACTTTATTTCCAATGACATTTTATGCTAAGTTGGGATTTTTTTACCAAAGTTTTTATTTCCAGGTTATTTTCCCCGAAATTTTCCTGTGACTTTCTTACATAAATTCTTTGAGACATCATACACTCATGGATCAAAGGATAAATTGTTGGCGCGGTCCGCCATGGTGAAGTAGCTTGGCTGAAATTTAATAATCATACAGCAGCATATACATTTATAAATTCAGATAATCAATCAATCTACCTGTATATGGTTTAGGGTTATCATAAATGTTGCGCACAATATTTCTGCAGTATCAGCTGTCCACAGCGGGTTTATTTATAGTGACTTAGGCCAAATATCACGTTGTGTTTCTTCTCAAAATTAACAAATTCTACTGGTTTGATAAAATAATTCACAATAACAATATTTCTTTTTCATTAGCGCTAGTGTTGGCATATTTGACACTGGACATTTTTGTTTTACACATATAAATATAATCTAAAAGATTTTAAAATTAAAAACAATTGAGTCGACCCCCCCCCACATCCAACCAAGCCCAAAGCCAAAGGGGGTCAAGATGACATTATCAATTTAAAATATTGGAAACTTTTGATTATTTAAAGATACAAAAAATGTTAATTATTTTGAATTTTGAACTTCTTAACGTAAAAATTACCTTTTAGATAAGTCATTGTAAATCAAATTTCGATAACTAATTCCATATATGTTTGGACAATCGAGTAACCGAGTATATATAGTCTACTTAAAAAAGGTTTTTTAAAATATATTTTTACAAAATTGAAAATTTTCTTCTTTTTCTTATTCTGTTTTTTAGCTTTCTGATAGTATCTACGGGCATTGCACAAATTTAGTTTCTAATTTTCAAAAAAGATTGATAAAGGAACTATACTGTACACATAGAGAATAGAATATATATTAGAGAGGAATTTACTGGAAAAAAATGTAAACGGCCATTTTGTTGTACTGTTTCCATACTGCAGGTGTACTTCAAATATTTATGCTATATAACCTTTTGGGCCCTGGAATATCATTTTATAGAAAATCTAAAATTAATGTTAAAAGAANTCAGCTTTATAAGTTCAACTTTCAATGATATCTTTAGTGTCCATACGTATTGTAATGACAAGAAGTCCAAGTGAGACCCATACAACTGTGAAACAGGAAGACGATATTTGTATTTGTTATAAAGCTTAAATAGTTTCAGCAGTTGCCTAAACACCTATTTAGCAAGTAAAATAGAAGTGAAATCACCGGACGATTGCCCTATTTTATGCCCTTTGGACTAGTTAAGTTCTTAACTTGAATCGTCTTTTAATTCCACAGTTTCATGGGCGCCACTGTATTTTTAAACCCTAAAAATTGCATTAATGCAGGAATCATGAGATTTAGTAAATATGACAGTATTTAAACTCCTGAATTCAAAAGTTTCACTTACAAGAGCATCGGCTTAACTCATTCAAAAGTTCCTTGCTCACCATACAAGTAATTTTAAAATCTGTTAAGTTTATGGATACTCACTCACTGACCTGCGCTCCCCCCCCTGACCCTACACCCCTTATAGAGATATAAAGATAGGACTAATCCAAACATTTATTGCACTGTTCTCTCTCATGCAAGTATTTGCATGCAGAGATGTCTACATCTTACATCTTGACCTGCGCTTAGGTTGTTCCAAAAATCCGCGCTAAAATCTTTCTAAGAAAATTTGTAAAATCATGGTTCAAATTTCCTACAGAAAATGTTAGGAATTAGGTTTTAAATGATTTAGTAAAATTGATGTGAAATTAATATAGTTGAAATACTTTTTAACACCAATAATGGTTCTCTGCAAAATTAAATCAACTCTACCCTTGAACACTGTAAATTGTATTTACATTAATTGCACATTAAACCTTGCCGAGTGTAATAATAAACATGTCCGAGGGTCTAACGATAATCAAAATATCAGTTTTCTGGTTTTTGTCAAGTCAAAAATAACAACTTGTTAATAATTTGTTGAATGTAATGAATAAAAATCAAATCATGTAGATCTAGATATTTTTTTATTAAATATTTAATAGTTTAAAGTTTAAACCCCAAAACAATAAAATGACGAAAATCTTATAAATTCCTGAACTATTCAGACTCCTGGTCCTGCTTGCAATGGAAATATTCTTCGCCGGGGGGTCAGCTCAGAGGAAAAACAAATAATCTTGAATACTCATAACAGGTGATATATATATGTATATTGTTTTCAAGGAAAGTGACCTGAGTCCGAATTTAAAGAATTTGAGCCGTGGCTTAAATTTGAGACGCGGCTCAAATATCGTTAGTTCCATTTAATATTGTATTCAATGTTTCAAGATTTAAGCCGGCGCTCAATTAAAACCGGTTTTTGTTGGATTTGAGACGCGGCTCAAATTCATTATATTCGTACTCTGTTGAGTGACAAATGACAATGTTATGAAACCATTTGAAAAGATTTTTTCCCTCTTGTCTTCTTGAGTTTTAAAGAATTACTGGGCGCCTTGTCTGATTAAGTTTGGCATAATGAGCTATCCTTTACTCTCATTCAACATTTGTGGTTTCTTCTTTAAAGCTAAAAAACTGACGATATATCCAACATTACTGATCACGAAGGAGATTCTGAGAAAATGCAATCACGCATCAATTTTTAAAACCAAACAGACGTTTAAAGGGAATGTAAGCGTAACTTCAAGTAACCCTCTATGCAAAGATGGCTGCAGTGCCAGATTTACAACTGTTTATTTTATTTGCGGTTTCTCTTCTCTGCGAAAGTGACTTGCGCATTTCTTGTTTATAAGAATCAATGGAGAAACTCACGGAAATAAACACTATTTGAGTCAGAAAAACGACGGTATCTTCCACAATTTTGATAAAGTTAAAGTTTCGAAGGTACCGTTGTAAATCGGGTGAATCTTTGCATGGAAGGTCACTTGAAATTACGCTTACAGTCCCTTTGGGCCTTTAAGTGTCGCAACTCGGAACTAGTGATGGGACACACGGGGTGTCCCACGAAAAATGACAGTTGGTGAGTAGTTTTTAATGTCTTCTTCCATGATACTGTATTAGTTATTCAAGACTTTTTACAGTTTTTTTCGCTAAACAAATCTTTTAATCAAATATATATTTGTTTGATATCAATTTTACTATAACATTACTGCCATTTAGTATTTCTTGTCATTATCTGAGGTATCAAACAACTTGACAAATTATGGCAGAAGACATTTTAGACTAATCACCAACTGTCATGTTTCGTAGGACACTCTGTACCTTGTTTTTTTCTGCGTCGTTCTGGACTTTTGAGGTTTTGGGACTTTTAAAGACATCAAAAAAATACTATAATTTCTAGCATTTCAAAACTGTCTTCTGTAAAAGTTTGTTTTCTATAAAACTTGCAAAATTTTTATCCAAAGAGAAAATATAAAGGAAAAAACGACAGTTTCTCTAAAAATCAATTTTCTAAAATTCAGGTTACGTGCGATTATTGCGCGTGGTGAGGAGAAAAGAGGTGCACCGGGTCCACAACCGCCAGCTAGCAATATGAAGATTCTGGTAAGTAAAGGGTTAGACAAAATTCTGGTAAGCCAAGGGTTAGCTATAATTCTGGTAGGTAAAGGGTTAGCCAACAAGTTCTGGTAAGTTTACGGTGTAGCTATTATTGCAGTAAGTAAAGGTTTAGACAACATTCTGGTAAGTAAAGTGTTAGACAACATTCTGGTAAGTAAAGGATTAGAGAACAATCTGGTAAGTAAAGGGTTAGAGAACAATCTGGTAAGTAAAGGATTAGAGAACAATCTGGTAAGTAAAG